CTTAAAGAACTTCATTGAAAAACAAGGCCAGATTCTCAGGGTAGCTTTTGAAGAAGTAGCTCAAACAATTGGTGCATCAAGAGGTCGCCGACTAAGAAAAGAGCCAGAAGCAGGACCCCACAATCCAAAAAGGCTCGCTTCAAACTTCCCCAAAGGAAAAGAAAGAGAAATTAATGTTGTAGCATCACAACCAAGGGAACAACAACCTTAAATGATCCCACAAGGACAGCAGCAAGGCAGAAGGCCACAAAGAAATTTTGATCCACTCCCCATGCCACCTAGCAAGTTATTACAACAGCTGGTTAAAGAATCCTTGGTGGAAATCAAGCCTCTAGCTCCTTCAGTCGGGACACTCTCGCGAAGGTACAATGCCAATGCCATATGCGAATACCGTGCTAACTCTCCAGGGCACACCATAGAACAATGTTGGGCATTTAAGCACAAGGTCCAAGATTTGTTAGAATCTCAAGACATCACTTTTGAGAAGCCTAACATCAAATCAAACCATATGCTTCAGCATGGTGGGCCGGCAATAAATGCAATTGAAGTAGTCACTAACTTTGGGGAAATCAGACAGGTGAAACCCCCATTCAACTTGTTGAAGGAATATCTGTTCGAATATGGGTTCCTGTTAGAACATAATGAAGCCTTTGAAAGAACGCTACAAAATCTAGGGTACCAGGGGGTAGTCCAATTCAGACTATACCCTGAAGAAGAATATGTAGCCACTATGAAGGGTAAAGCATGGTTTCCTCCAATCCCAGAGACCTTTGTCAACAAGGGGACAGAGCACGGCAGACATGTGCCAATGATATCCAACAGAGTCAATACCAAAAGGGCAACTGACTTCATCAGAGAATGCGCCCCAAGAGAATAACTCAAAGGATGGACTACCGTGGAGATTTCCGAGATCTTTTTCTTTCCTAAGTATTTTTTCTTGTTTTTGAAAGAACCTATGTCAAGCCCGAGGCATAGGGGTTGCTTGTAAGGGTTTACCCCGTTTTGTTTCAGACAATATTTGAAATTAATAAAAGTTATATTTTGTTTTTCAATTAAGATCCTTTTCTTTCATTTTCATTTAACTCTTAAATTTAAAAATGGCTATACTTTCTTTGCATATGCATTTTCAAATTTCACATACTAAATCTGCACCAAAACATGATAACGGTACAAATCCATGCCCAAAACCACTGATAATGCTACTATTGCGACCCAATATAATTTTGATGTTCCTATCAACCAAGCTGAAGAGGAAGATGATAAAGATATTGAACTCTCTGAGGAAATGGCGAGGGAAATAGAGAAAAAGGCTGACAACATACAACCATAGCAAGAGGATTTAAGACCATTAATCTAGATACACGGGAAGAAATCAAGATAGGGGCAATGTTAGAACAAGGCGTCAAAGAAAGGTTGATCAAGTCATTATCTAGCTCGCCAACCACTGCCAGAATATCAACCTGTGAAGTTCAATTTTCCTGACAGAGATGTCGTAGGTGACTACGGAATACCAGGACCTGGCAAAGAACCTGAGCCAGGGGCACATTGGACATTCGCGTTCGACGGGGCTTCAAATACACTGGGGAACAATATAGGGGCAATTTTGACTTCTCCAAAGAATTATCACAAGCCATATGTCAGGTCAATGGCGAATGGGATACTAAATATCCAAAACTGATTCCATATCGGGATCATGTTTTAAAACTGACTATAGAATTCACAAATATCATTTTCGGCCACATCCCACAAGAAGAAAATCAAATGGCAGACGTTCTGGCAACTATATCAGATATGTTCAAAGTAACTTGGTCAAACCACGAACCGTGCATCACAAACAGACACTTCGAAGAGCCCGCACATTGCCTTACTATTAAGTAATTTTCTTAATTCATATAATTTATTTAAATATATCATATATTTATTATAGTATACATTATATATGATGAACTTATGAGGTGATGTATATTATAAATAAGGATTATATGTTAAATAGATGAACACTAGAATCTTAATATGAAAACTTTTTTAATAGTATTTTAAGTATTCTCTAATTATTTTAGAGTCTACATGCAGGGATTATTTGAAGTGTTATGTCATGCTCTCAATTTGTTTTGAAATGTTTCCATAAATATTTTTTAGTGTAAATTAGTGGCGACGCCAGGAAATTTATAAAGTCTGAATAAAAATTTAAATACCGCAAAAATTTTCTTGATGACTTCATCATATAATTACATGTTTATAAAATATACACATTGCAATTGAAGAAAAATACTACATTATACTTTAAAATAGGATACATTAATGTTATTTGATAATTGTTTGAGGTGTCAAATTGAATTCTCATTTAGATTCCCATATTTTGTTCAGGAGTGATCCTTTCCATGTCAAATTGAATTCTCATAGTTGATTCATTTTCTTCAACCATATTCTCCATTTTCTCCACTAGCATATAATTATAACCTTCAAGTATTCACAAAACAACAATTACCACACAAAAAAGAAAATACAAAAAATACAGCAGTATCTTGACTTAAATTGTAAAGCAGCTCAGTTAAAAAAAATCACAAATATGATATATCCTTGATTTTGTCTGAGTTATATAAATATTTAACTTTATATGGATAGAAGCAAAATATATACTAAAATTTTCTGTTTAATTATATCTACAGTATTCTTAATCATTGTCCCAATTGTGATTTTAACTTTGATTCTAACAATCTTTAAGCCAAATGATCTAACTATTAGTGTTTGTTTGTGCCACTTTAATTTACTTTCATCAAATATATCCATGAACCTGACTTTAGGCATGGTTATCAGAATATTGAACCCAAACTATGGAAGCTTCAAGTATCAAAATTCCATAGGTTATGTCACTTATCATGATACTATTGTTGGAAACGTTCCAATTGAGTCACAACTTATTCCAGCTCGTAGTGAAATTAATGTGACCACTAATGTATATTACATGGTGGGGAAGTTGATATAGAATCCAAAACTTCATGGTGTGACCACTAATTTGACTTCAACAATTGAATCAAATATATCAAAGTATAACGACAACATCCCATTATAAGAAAATTAAAACAGAAGCAGAAGAAAAGAGAAAAAATTGGTGGAGGAATTCGTCGAACACTTTGTGAGCGAGATCGAAAGATGTATATTCTTCTCCATTTGTCCCTTTGTAAACCTAAACACCATACCATTTATTCTTTTCTAATCCATCAGAGCATTTCTCCTTCATCTTTAGAAGGACAAATTGAATGGTCCACACTCCACAACAATATCACTTAAATCTTCACCTGGGCACACAACAAACATACACATAAAAAAAAATCAATTAAGAACCACAGCTTTTTTATGTTAGCCTTTCATATTGACAGTATTCAAACAACTCGATTCAAATAATGATACAACCAATTTACCATGATAGAAGAAAAAGGTGAAAGGGGAAGAGAAGAAGGTGAGTGAAATGGAAGGTTTTATGGATGAAGAAGTGTGGAATTAGGAGGCAGAAGAGTGAGGGAATTATGGAGAGCAAATAGAGTTTTAGAATTGATAACACAACTCGTAACTAAAGAGCCTGGGTAGTTGCCCGACCTCGTCAGACGTTGGCTCCGCCTATGGTATGGATGTACAACCTATATCATGATTTCATCAAAGTAGACCAATATTTCTTCAATATTTCCCAATTGCCTTGACGAACAATGAAAGACTTGTTGTCACAATATTTGAGGTCTACTCTCCAAAAATCAACATATTAGTTTTCGAGCGAAATCAAGGTATTGAATGATTGAGCGACAATGCATGTTCATGTACCAACAAAGTGAAATATATTTTATAGAGTATTTGGAAAGAGTTTGCATTTGATGGATTTAGTGGCTCCTCTTATGATCATTTGGGTGTTGACGATCGCCAAGTTATTAGGGGGTCTCATTTTTCGTTGAACCATGTGGGGGTGATTTAAAGCTCTTTGGGATTAAAGCATTCCAAACTTCTAGACATTTGGGTTGAGGGTCATCAAATTAGCCCTCTGAATCATCTTTTTCAACTTCTCTTATTTAATGGCTTGAATATGCATTTGAAAATTCTCACTTTGACATCACATTCCATCTATTTCAACTTGAATTTAGAGAAGAGTCTCATACTCTTCATGTAGAGACTTAATTCACCATCTTCCGTAGTCATTTCGTTGTGCGGCCGAGCAATGGATTTAGTGTGTCTCTACAATTTTCAGATATTTTTGCTAAATACTATAAGATAGACCTTATTAGTAGTATATTGCGATCAATGTTAAAGTGTTTAGTACTTTAGATAAAAAGTGAGTTAAATCTTTTGTTTATTTAGCAAGTTTTCCTATATAGAGAGAGTTAGTGTCTTTCGTTTGTACGTTATAATGGGATCGTGTGCGTTTGTTTTTTTTAGTTCGGCCTTATCATAAGAATCGTGCTCAACATAGTCTTTTTCGAGTAAACTCATACATGTCTATGCCTTCTTACTTGTTTCGAAAATGAACCAATTATTATCGGGTATTAGAACATCTTACTATATGGAATGAGTTTTCAAATAAGATTATGATGGTCTAGTTATTGTAAATACTTTTAATATGTACAATATAATTGTTCTTTTTTAAAACGTATATAAAAAATTTAATTTCTTTTTTAAAACGTATATAAAAAATTAGTAAATTAAATGGTAGAAATTGCTTGAAAATGGGGAGAAATGAAATTAAATGATTTGATAATGAAATTGCTAATCATGCTACAAAAACAATTTAGTTTAGCAGTAGAGAAGCGTTAATGTCACAACTCCCTTTACCTGTGCACCTGCTAATCCCATCCTTGTTAACTTAAGCAAGCAACGTATGGGTTTGTATTTTCACAATGAATAATTAAATTACTAAACATGAACTTTTCTTTCCTCACCTTTATATAACTCCACTAATCCCATTCTCCTCAATCAAGCAGCATCATGTATTTGTCATGATTATTGACTCATCACCCATGCATGCAGTATCTTCCTTACAACCCACGCCTCCTAAACAAGTCTCCCACCACGACATGCTTCCTTTCTTCAACCAATCTATGGAACTCGTTCCCAATCCCCTCAAAACACGAACTCGTCACTCTCCTACACTTGGTGAGCTTCTCAAACGCGTAGAAGATGCTCAAAACGACAGCAATAATGCTCAACCCCATCATGTTCTTGACCTTTCTTCCCCCTCTTGTTCCACCACTCTTCCCCCACCTTTTTTCCTTTCTTTCACTAACTTGACTTACAGTGTCAAGCTGAACCAAAAGTTGACTTGCTTTTCTTCCAATCAAAATTCTCTTCCAATTGATCAGGAAACCGAAACTAAACCAAATGGCACCAAGATTCTCCTTAACAACATCTCCGGTGAAGCGAGAGACGGCGAAATCATGGCAGTTCTTGGTGCAAGCGGCTCTGGCAAGTCAACTCTCATAGACGCTCTCGCAGACAGAATTTCCAAAGAATCTCTCAAAGGTACTGTAACTCTAAACGGCGATGTTTTAGAGTCAAGCCTCCAGAAGGTAATTTCAGCTTATGTCATGCAAGACGACCTTCTCTTCCCTATGCTCACCGTGGAAGAAACTCTTATGTTCTCGGCGGAGTTTAGACTCCCTCGCTCTCTCTCCAAATCAAAGAAAAAAGCTCGTGTCCAAGCACTCATCGACCAGCTCGGTCTCCGCAACGCCGCCTCGACCGTCATAGGAGACGAAGGTCACCGTGGTGTCTCAGGTGGAGAACGCCGCCGTGTCTCAATCGGTACAGACATTATCCACGATCCAATCATTTTATTCTTAGACGAACCAACCTCCGGTCTTGACTCCACCAGCGCATACATGGTGGTTAAGGTCTTGCAGCGAATTGCTCAAAGCGGGAGCATAGTCATGATGTCAGTTCATCAACCAAGCTACAGAATCCTCGGACTGTTAGACCGTTTGATCTTCCTCTCCCACGGTCAAACCGTCTACAGCGGTTCTCCGGCGAGCATCCCTAGTTTTTTCTCCCAGTTCGGTCATCCTATACCGGAAAACGAAAACCGAACGGAATTTGCACTGGACCTAATCCGCGAGCTTGAAGAAACACAAGGAGGAACCAAAGGTCTTGTGGAGTTCAACAAAACATGGCAGTTGAAAAATCAACCACTTTCAGCAAAAGTCTTTAACAACGGAGCCAAACTGTCGTTAAAAGACGCCATCAGCGCGAGCATTTCAAGAGGGAAACTAGTCTCAGGAACTAACAGCGGAAACGGAAAATCAACCGCTTCAGTTGCAACGTTTGCTAATCCGTTCTGGATTGAAATGGCGGTTATCGGAAAACGCTCTCTAACAAACTCACGGAGGATGCCGGAACTATTCGGAATCCGCTTGGGTGCAGTTCTGGTCACCGGAGGAATCTTAGCCACCATCTTTTACCATCTTGACGATTCACCAAAAGGTGTTCAAGAGCGTTTAGGTTTCTTCGCCTTCGCCATGTCAACAACCTTCTACACCTGCGCAGAAGCCATTCCCGTTTTCCTCCAAGAGCGTTACATTTTCATGAGAGAAACTGCCTACAACGCTTACCGTCGTTCCTCTTACGTCCTTGCTCATTCCATCATCTCCCTCCCTGCACTAGTCTTCCTCTCCTTCACCTTCGCCGTCACAACTTTCTGGTCAGTCGGACTCGCTGGTGGAACATCTGGTTTTCTGTTCTACTTTTTAACAATATTAGCTTCTTTCTGGGCAGGGAGTTCCTTCGTGACGTTCCTCTCCGGCGTAGTCTCCCATGTGATGCTTGGTTTCACGGTGGTGGTTGCGATAATGGCCTACTTTCTTCTCTTCAGCGGATTCTTCATCAGCAGAGACAGAATTCCACCTTACTGGATATGGTTCCATTACCTGTCACTGGTGAAGTACCCTTTTGAAGGAGTGCTTCAGAATGAGTTTGATATTAACCCACCAAGATGCTTTGTGAGAGGAATTCAGATGTTCGATAACACGCCACTCGGGGATGTGCCCGGGAGTTTGAAGGTGGAGCTGCTGAAGAGCATGAGCAGGACGCTTGGGATTAACATAACGAGCGACACTTGTGTTGTTACAGGAGAAGATGTACTGAAGCAGCAGGGGGTCACACAGCTTAGTAAATGGAATTGCTTGTTCATCACCATTGCTTGGGGTTTCTTCTTTCGGTTCCTCTTTTACTTGGCGTTGCTTTTTGGAAGCAAGAACAAAAGGAAATAAGCTCAAAAGTTTGTATACTACATTGTTAAATTTAAAATGCGCGTCCCTTCCTATGACATTATTGTACTAGTTTTTTTTTGAAAGGCAAAATAATGATTTATTAATATCAGTAGGAGCACGAGACATGCCTTACACACCAGAACTACACCCCAGCGAATATATCTCATTACACACTAATACACCAGTTCACTACATACTTGTCCCTAATCTACAATTGATATCAAGAGCACCTATTGCATATAACTTCAAACATAACTCCTAGACTCAAAACTTACACTGTTGAAACAAGGGACCCAGATTAAATAAAACATACACAGTGCTAATTATCATCAATACTCAGTCCACCTCCTGCCTTGTCTTCAATTTGCCACCAATCCCAGCTCTAAGCCAAAGCTCTTTCCAACAAACCGCAGCAGACACGATATCAGGACTACACTAACATAGTTTGAATATTGCAGATCTTGATATACTCCTTCCCTCTGCATGATATACCATGGGTAACAGCCAATAAAAGATAAAAAAACCTGCAATCCAACAAAATCCGACCAAAACAGAACTTGCTGATACACATGGGCTGATGCTCCCTTCCCTAAACTCAGTTCCATCCAAGGCATTCTTTTGGATTTAAAATCCATTGGCTTAGTCCATAATTGAAGCCTTTGAGATTTGCTTTTAACCATCTCCAGGAAGTAACATGTATATCTTCAATGTTGTTGTAACTTCTGTTTTCATCTCTTCCGATACTCTTCTCATTTCTCCTCTTCAAAATGATCCAGAAGCATGCGAGCCATATGACTGAAAACCTTTCTTGAAGACTTCTCCCTCCTCTGCTCAGCCCTGCAAATTGAAAAAAATTCAGCATACTTGAATTGTGAGATACATACGCAAATTTTAGCCATGTTAGTTGTTAATTTTGGAATAAAATGATTGTATTATTCATTGTTTTGGAGTGTACAGAACAGTATTATATATACTGTTTGAGTAACAAACTGTAACAAACTGTTTAGTAACTAACTAAACAGAATTATAACAAACTGTAACAAACTGTTTAGTAACAAACTAAACAGAATTATTTTCATCATGTAATAGCCCCCACAAGCTGGAATATGGATATCTAATAGACCAAACTTGGAAACAAGAGAATCGAATGAGGGAGCTGCCAAAGGTTTGGTGAGAACATCTGTCAATTGAGCAGCAGAAGAAACTGGTAAAAGATGGATGAGACCAGTTTGGATTTTCTCACGAATGACGTGGCAGTCAATTTCGATATGTTTTGTTCGTTCATGGAAGGTGGGGTTGTGAGCAAGGTAGATAGCACTTTTGTTGTCACAATAGACTGAGATAGGTTGATCAAAGGAGATGTGGAGATCCTTGAACAAATACTGCAGCCATTGCAATTCACAAGTCAAGCTTGCTAAGGCCCTGTATTCCGCTTCTGAACTTGATTTGGATACTGTAGACTGCTTTTTGGATTTCCAGGATATGAGGGAATTGCCAAGGAACACACAATATCCAGTTACGGATCTGCGGGTAGCAGGGCAACTTGTCCAATCTGAGTCTGCGAAGCCAGAGAGTTTGAGTTGAGAGGAAGATGAATAGAACAAACCCTTGGCAGGAGCACCTTTGAGATACTTGAGTACTCGAATTGTTGCAGAATGATGAACTTGCATAGGTTGTGAGATGAATTGTCTAAGCTGTTGAACGATGAATGCAAGGTCAGGTCTGGTGGTGGTCAGATATAGAAGTTTTCCAACAAGCCTTCGATAAGCTGTGACGTCTTCGAAAGGTGGTGAGTTATCATCATGAAGCTTTAAGGAGGAATCGAAGGGAGTAGAGCAAGGTTTAGTAGCCAATAAGCCACTGTCTTCGAGCAATTCTAAAGCGTACTTTCTCTGATTGAGAAAAATGCCGTGAGTTGACCTGGCAACTTCTAGACCAAGAAAATATTTAAGCCTACCAAGGTCCTTGATTTTGAAAGTGGAATCAAGGAAGCATTTGACATATTTGATTTCCTGCAAATTATTATCGGCTAAGACAATATCATCAACATAGACTAATAAGGCAGTAAAAGAAGAGTCATGTGATTTGGTAAAAAAAAGAATGATCAGCAGAAGAATATGAGTAGCCAAGAAAGATAAGGGCAGTGGACAATTTCGAAAACCACTGTCTGCTAGCCTGCTTTAGGCCATATAATGACTTATGTAATTTGCAAACTTTGTTGGTCGAAGGAGTGCAAACTTTATTGGTCGAAGAAGTGCTAACTTCGTTGATCGAAGAAGTGCAAACTTTGTTGGTCGAAGAAGTGTAAACTTCGTTGGTCGAAGAAGCAGAAGAAGTGCAAACTTTATTGGTCGAAGGAGTGCAGACTTCGTTGGTCGAAGAAGCAGGGGGCAGGAATCCAGGAGGCAGATCCATATACACTTCCTCATGTAGATCACCATGAAGGAAGGCATTGTTGACGTCGAGTTGTTCCAAGTGCCAATTCTTAATGGCAGCCACTGAGAGAAGGGTTCGAATAGAAGTAAGCTTCGCAACAGGTGAGAAAGTGTCGAAATAATCCACCCCCTCCAGCTGAGTATATCCTTTTGCTACCAAACGGGCCTTGTATCGTTCGATAGATCCATCAGCATGATGCCAGATTTTGTAGACCCATTTGCAACCAATCGATTGTTTACCTGCAGGCAAATCAACAACAGACCAAGTATTTGTAGATTCAAGAGCATCTAACTCAGATTTCATAGCATTGTTCCAACAATCAAACTTGCAGGCTTGTTTATAGGTTTTTGGTTCTGTGAAAGAGCTTATGGATAGACAAAATAATTTGTGATCAGGACTACATTGGCTATAAGATAATACAGAAGAGAGAGGGTAGTTAGGGGAACCTGATTCAGATGCTGGCAGCATAAGGGATAGCAAATTGCAGTGATAATCAGATAGATAAGCTGGAGGTTTAATATTTCGATTGGATTTTCTGGTTGGCACAGTAGGGGAGGGGCAAGGGGAGTTGTTAGTGTCATTCGAGGAAGAAGAGAGGTTAGTGGAAGATTCTGGCTGGGGGAGAGAGGTAGGAGAGGAAGGTTCATTTGATGGTGGAGGTAAGTTGGGTGGAATGTTGGTGAAAATATCAGGTGAATCAATCGAAGGAGGGTCAGGAGTAGGAATTATAGGATTAGGTGCAGGTGGGATGGATGCAAAAGGGAACACAGTTTCATAAAAGAATACACTCCTTGAAATGTAAAATTCATGTGTGATAGGATCATAGAGAAGGTAGCCTTTTGTGCCTTCCCTGTAGCCAAGAAAAATAGATTTCCTTGCTCTTGGTTCGAATTTAGTGCGATGGTTAAGCAAGGTCGAAGAATAGGCAAGACAACCAAAGACTCTCATATGGCTAAGGCTGGGAGGAGTAGAATGGAGTTTTTGGTATGGAGAGTGGTTGTTTAAAAGAGGAGTGGGAAGACGGTTTATAATATGAATGACATGTTGTATGGAAAGGTGCCAAAGGTTGTGAGGGAGGTGAGAGTGGAAAGAGAGGGCACAGGCAACATTCAAAATGTGTTGATGTTTTCTTTCCATAATACCATTCTGTTGAGGCGTTTCCACACAAAACCTTTGATGAATGATTCCTTTAGAAAGGTAGAAAGTGGTCATGAGAAACTCAGGACCATTATCACTTCGAATGCACTTGAGTTTCTTGTTAAATTGGGTTTCGATAAAGGATATGAAGTGAATTAAATGGTTTCTGGTTTCACTTTTGTTGGCCATAAAAATTGTCCAAGTAAACCTGCTGTAATCGTCTACGAGGGTTAAAAAATACTTGTGGCCACATATCGAAGGTGTGGAAAGAGGGCCCCAAATATCAACATGAAGTAAATCGAAGATGGCAACAGACTTAGTATTACTGTGAGTAAAGGGCAAATGTTTTTGCTTAGCCAAATGGCAAGTGTTACAGGGCTTATGATTGTCATTGTAGGTGACAAAAGGAAATTGAGAGGAAATACATTTGTGTATGTAGGGACTTAAGTGTCCAAGCCTAAGATGCCAAATAGTAGCAGGATTGTGTTTAGCAGGTTCTAATTGGGGAGAAGATGAGGTGTTGACAGAGCCAGATGTGGGAGAGATATCCTTAGGTGGGGTGGCATCAAGAACATACAATTTGCCAATCCTCCTAGCTGTAAATCCAGTCATCTTGGATTGGGACAACTGCATAATGAAACAGCAATTAGGAGAGAATTTCACATCATATAAGGTGGAGTCAAAAAGAGTGGTGACAGAGATAATATTGACATGAAATGAAGGAAAGTAATAAATATTGTGAAGGACAAGTGAATCACATAGTAAAACTGAACCAGCAATAGTAGTGGTGACAGAGTCACCATTAGGCATTGTCATAGATTTAGGTGCAATGTGGTATGTGGAAAGGAAACTGGAAAAGATATGGGTGATGTGATCAGTGGCACCTGTGTCAATGATCCACCAGTTATGACAAGGAAGATTTGAGGAATTTTTACCAGAGGAAGTATGAGGAGATGTATGGGACACAAAATTAGCAGTATAAACTGAATTAATCGAGGGAGGTGAAGGAGATTGCAAATTAGATTGTTGGAGGAGCTCCAGAATCTGAGTGTATTGCTCTTGAATCGTTGACAAAGCACTTGGACTGGTGTTTGATGTGGAAGCAGCATCTTGAATCAAGTTCACTGTAGAATCAGCAGAATTTCCCACAGATGTAGTAGGCTTGCATTGTTGAAATCCAGGGGGATAGCCATGTTTCAAGAAGCAAGTCTCAATGGTGTGATTGGTGCGGTTGCAATGAGTAGAGTCTGTTTCCACGGCAACCACGGCCACGGCCATGACCAGGGTTGATCGAAGAACGAGAAGGTGCTTGAGAAAGGTGATTCACAGACGATTGAGACTCAATCGAAGAAGTAGAAGGTGAAAGGAGGTCGAGTTGACGTTCTTGTTGAAGAACCAGATTAAACACATTATCAAGAGTTGGTAGT